TCGTAGATGCTTTCGAGCTAAGATGAAGGTCAAGAGTAAGCCCATTTCTAATAAAAAAAACCTATGTACATTGTACATATATATAGTCTATGCTATACTAACCGTTAAAACGTACCTAGAGACGAACCCGAGCGAAGCGAGGGTGAGTCGCTAGTATTTCATAAAGTAATAAAAGTACAATTTATAACTCAATCACATCGATTAGCCCAAATAATTCAAACTATTCATGATGTGTTATGTATAACATAAATATATTTCCAAACGTTAAATAAGGTCTGATGGAAAATTTATTCAAATAGGTAAATGATAAATACTAATAATTGGTGTATTATGTTTATATTTGCTCTTGACGTTTATACATCATATCATATAAAAAATAAAATCATTGTTTATTTGTTTGTTCGTATTTCATGCGTTGCCGATTGCGATAAAACTTTGTCAACTTATAGCTTGCACAATTATAGGCAGCACGATTACAGTACAATAATAATTGTACAGTACAATAATTTTATTAACTTACATAGCTGGCTCAATATTTAGATTTTAATACCTACAATCTACGATTGCAATAGTTGGCATATCAACGCCATCTATCGTCAGAGCAAAAGAACTAAAACAGAATAAAGTCACGAAATTCCAATTCTTTATTAGGTATAATAAAATCCGTTAACTATTTTTTTTATTAGCATTTATTTACTTATATATACTCAGTTTAACTGCATCGGTGTGTAGTGGATAGCGTGTATGGCTGCACATCCCGAGGTCCTGCGTTTGAGTCCGAGGTTGGGCCAAGTTTAGTTATCGAGTCTTTCTGTTTAGTAAGCCTCAGTAACAGCCCAGAGTTGGGACGTTGGCGGTGTTTCACCCCCGTGCACCCTCGAGGAGCACGTAAAGCCATCGGTCCTACGCCACCGGAGTATGAGAGTGACAGGAATAGAATAATGCTCTTGTATCTGTGCGCACATACGCTGCACTATAATATCTCCTACTGAGTTGGCTATTCTAAATGAGATTTAGACCAGGGTCGATAATTTTTAAAACCAAAAAAAATAATAGTAGGATGAAACCCATTAGAAAAGGAGGGAAATATTATAAAAATGAAAGGAAAAATAATTTACGGGCGATCTGAGGTCGGGAAGGGGATGGGGGTGACTTTTTAAGTGTAAAAAACGTTTTTTCTCGATTTCCAGCAAAACTAAAAGTCCTATCGAAAAATTCAAATGGCAAAGTTGTAGGTAATAAAAAGATCTAAAACTTTTGTATTTACACTTTTTTCACATAACCTCAAAATTTATGTGAAAAATTCAAAAAACCAAGTTTTTGTTTTTTTATTTTTATCTTTTACAAAAAAAATTTTTGTAACGAAATTTGGTGAAAACTACCCTGGTCTAATTGGCCGCCGTGGCCGAAATCGGTCGGAAGGACATTATTATACAATTTGTCATTTTTATTTATTTTAAAACATTGTTTGGATTCATGTTTAGTTCTATTACACTCTACATTGTATATCATATATTATAAGCCTACATCATAATATTAGTATAACTATTTATTTGGTTAAAAATAAAAGAGAGAATACCAACTTATAACTTTATTTACATACAAATAATGTTAACAAAATAACCACTTACACAAAAACATTAATCATATCACAGAAACAAACAAATACGACTTCATGAATACTTTTAACTTAAACATAGAAAAATATTTGTATAACTACCCACTATAGGCTAAAACATCTATTAAAGATATTTTATTACTTACCTACTTCTTATAGGACTCAATTTTGAACACTTTTGATAGCCAATCCTTAAAAGTAATATAAAATCTTTCTCAGTTGACCTTGCATGGATCCATATATAAAATTTTCATGAGAATGTGTTTCGTACTTGTCTTTTGCTAAATTATACTTAAATAGAAAATAAAGCGAATAATAAAGCATTTAACAAAGGGATCTTCGTCAAAACTTATTCACATTTATCAAAATTTAATTCAATCCAAAACTATTTATTACCTTAAACTAAAAACTAAAAAAAAACTGACTTCAAAAAGAAAAACACCAAAAAGAAAAAAAATCTGAGTGGTGTGCTTTGTTTTGCATAATAGGCTGGCACGGACTTCTAAAATATCTGATTAGGTATCTATAGTAAGTGAAAACTACCAATCAGTTTTTTTTTATTATTTTAAGTGTCTTTTTGTTGTCTTTTTTTAAGTTTTTATTTAATGTAGACATAGTAGCAAAGTAAGAAGAAAGTATTTTAAAAATTCGGTAGGTGAAAAATCAATTATCTCTATTTTTTACACTTAGGGGTGAGTTTTTTTCAATTTAAATGGGACCAACTTTAAAGTATATCCTATCCAATAAAAAAATCATTGAAATCAGACTACACTGTAAAAAGTTCTACGTGGTGAAACATAAAAAAAAATATGTACGTGTCGAATTGAGCACTTCCTCCTTTTTTTTCGTCGGTTAATAGGTTAATAAGCTTCAGGTACGAAACATATTTTGGTATAAACTTACTTATACGGACTCCATAAACTCGAATCGTTCGTAATATTTAAATTTTTACAAAGAAAAAAAAATTTCTAGCGAGCTAACACAAATTATTCAAAATTGTTACAAAAACTTGACAAACGTTTTGGAAAACTTTGTTTGGAAACCATATTGTATAAATATTCATTGTGTTCTTTTTAACTTCTTAAAGAAAGAGGATTTGTTTGAAGTCGAGTTAATTAATTAATTAATACAAAATTATTTTAATTGCATTAATAATAATAATAATAAGACATTCACAGCTTATTAAAAATATTTATATACATATGGAAGATGTTTTGTTGATTTTTGTCACTTACAATTGATAGATATAATTTTTTAAATAATGGCTTCTATACAATAGTAAATCATTAATACAATGAACTAGACCAAAACGTAAAATAAAAAAAATCATTATAATAGCTTTTCTTGATAGAAACAAATCATATTTTGTATTGAAAGTAATAAATCAATTCATTTTACACATTACATAGATGACAACACGTTTATATCAATAAAATTTTGGTACATTTTATATGTAAAGACAGGAACAAATTAAATTCGTTACAAGAATCAGCAATAGATATAAAATGGAGAAGAGTCCATTTTTTTAGGCATTAATTATAAAAAAAGTAAAATATAACAAACATATTACATAATTATTAAAATATCTCAACAAATGAGAAAGTGATGAATCTTTAAAGTTAAGTTGTAAGAATAATTTCATGACGTCACACGATCTCAACAACTGTTTAAATTAATTTCTCAGTCATTTATTGATGGATTTTAGAATTTTAGTCACTGATTTATTAGTTTTGATCTAAATATATTGTAATTGAATTGCTTTAAATACGATACTGACAATATGATGAAACTTCTCCATTATATCAATACTAACGACTCACCCTGACTTCGCTTCTGGTTCGTTCGTAGACAAAAACATATCTATCCCACAGGGACCGTACATTTTTGCGGGATGATATATAACCTAGCCTTCCTCTATAAACGGGCTATGTAATGCAAAAAGATTTTTTCAAATCGGATTCAAAGATCAAGAACTACAGTTCCTGAGATCGGCGCGTTCAAACAAACAAATAAACTTTGCCTGTTTATAATATGAGTATATATATGCACATATTACAATGGACTTTTTTATTTGTACCAAAAATTACTTCTTATAATTCATATGTTACAGTATACACAAAAGTACCTTTTCATTTAATTTTAAGTGTATCAACAATTTCACTCCAAAACATACTGATATAATAATTGATATGTTCATTGAATGAATTGTTATAAAAATATAATTTACACAGAAACAGAGGATGGTCTCGAAAAGTCAGTCATCAATTTCATTCTACTTACCATTTTCGCACTTTAATTAACAATGTAAAATTTGTATAGAAAATCTACACGTTTAGAGGAATTATATACTAGTAGAAAGAGTCTTTACACTAAATTCTCCATCTGAAACAAATAGATCCATAGAGTAAGATGATTTGAATAATATTTAAGTATCTTTCTTATGTATAAAGTAGCGACTCACCCTCTAGGCTCTTCGCTAGGGTTCGTCCCTAGCTTGCTTCCCAATACAGATTTTCATCCCCATTTTCACCCCCCTTAAGGCATGATTTTCGGGATAAAAGTCCTATGTCTTTCCCAGGGTCACAAACTATCCTCTTACCAAATTTTATCTAAATCGGTCCAGTAGATCCAGAGATTACCCCATACAACGTCACAAACTACCTCTTTATAATATTAGTATAGATATAGTACCTGGGCGACCGAGCTTCCCTTGGTTTTTTTTTCGGAAAAGATATAAAATTTGCGTTTTTTTTTTAAAGACACCCATAGATAAACTTACAAAGCCTTATCTTAATGCAAAAGTTGATCCAAATCGTTAGAGTTGTTTCCGACATACACGAGATAAAATATATTATATACAAGAATTGCTCATTTAATATGAGGAGGGCAGAAAATTTACTATTTGAGGGATTTTTAACTGAAATTTCGACACCTGCAAGGAACATAATTTTAACTCAGTTTATTGACAATTTTGAATTTATTCTTTAACATATAATATGTAAAATACATGTAACTTAAAATTGTGTCAATACAAATCTGTTCTTTTCAAGTATTCATTTAATTTATTTTATTATAAATATATAGATATTATTTAAGAGGGAAAAATAAAATTTATGTCATTCCTATATCCCTATTAGATTTGTTCAACAATACTATGTAAATTATAAATTTGATTTTGGGATATGAGCACAAATATTTTATCACATTCCCATGAGTCATTTAATAAATTTTAGGTTATTATAGACCTAATTTCCAATCAAATTAAAACCCATTCTAAACTATGTAAAAGTAGTAATTCCAACAATTAGCATAAGTAGAAATTTCAACCGCTACAATGTTATAAATAAATACATGTTATAACAATTTGAACATACCGGCATCATTCCTCGTTACTCCTACTAACTTCGCTGCCCGACTCGCTGACAGACGTTGAACGGATGCTAATAGACGTTTCTTTGAATTGGCTGATAAAGTCTAGAAGTTTCTGGAGGTTTCTCTGTGTTTTTATTTGGTCGGCTAACAGTTGTCGCTTTTCAGCATTATGTTCATCCAAATTTTCTTTCAACGTAGCCGCCCTCGCTTCTAACTTGCGCAGTTCAACACACAGTTCGATATTCTTCTCTTGTAGGCGTTTGCGTTCTGCAAGTTTGTCTGGAAATTTATATTATTCCAATCTAATTTTTCTTAATATTAAAAAAACTTTTAATATTACACTCTGACAAAAATATGATTCAAACGAATATTCACACAAAGAGGAGAAAATAGTATTTTATCTATTTTTATCTAGCTGGAATCTTACATCTATCGCATATGCTCTAAGAGACGAACGACGACGTAAGTTATAAATATTTTGCATATTTGAAAACAAATTAGTAAAAATAGTAAGATTTGAAGATATCATTGGGAAGAATATCATATACATACACCATTTTTCAGACGATAACCGTTACTGAGACCTGAGACCGTTACTAAGACAAACTAATATAAGCGGTTACTATAGCAACCATGACGGTTTTTCGTGACGCAACCTTGGAATTTGACACTCAAGCGTGCAAATATCTATGTTAACTAAACAACAGGCGAAATTCAGGAATTTTTGAAAGACATGTGAAGTCCGCCAACCCGCACTTGGCCAGCGTGGTGGACTATGGCCTGATCCCCTTCGTGTTGAAGGCAGGCCTGTGCCCAGCGAGTGGGACGTTTAAAAAAAATAAAAAAAGGGGTGAATACACATACAGGCGGCCCTACCTCTGTACACGTCGAGGTCGTGCGCGGCGGCGTGCGGGGCGGCGTGCGGCGGCGCGGCGGCGGGGTCGGGCAGCGCGGCGCCGCACGCCGCGCAGCGCCCGCGCGCGCCGCAGCCCGTGTGCTGCCACACGCTGCACGCCGCGCACCACACCAGCAGCGACGGCACGTCTGCGCACACACACATAATAATATGTCTATATAGTTACTGTACTCGCCGAATGAACCAAGCACTGAGATCTTGCGCTTCCACATGATTAGTTGCAGATAAGACGCTTAAGCCGCGATTTCTATGCAACTTATAATTGGTCTGTCTACGCATTCCGTACCTTTCAGATATCTCTCGTGTAGTTACATGATTTATTATCAATGTAAGAGATACAGCGATACGTCGGAAAGTGAAAATTAATAAATATGTAAATACCTAATGTATATAAATATTTAAAAATACAGTTAATTTAACTTTAATGTTGATTTTATTTCTTTATTGATTTTATATTATTACAAATTATGAACAATTCCTCACTAAATCATTAGCAACATGAACAAGCCCTATGATTTCAAACCAGTTGCAAGCTTTAGTGGGCGGAGCTAGACAATTTTCTGTCCTTATCAGTTATGTGTATTGTAATGTGGGACAGAGAAAGCGCTTTGCATGGTTCACTCCGTAAATACAGTATATACATATTAATATTAAGAGCTCTTAACTTTACCAGATATTTTTCCATCATTTTAAAAGATATTTTCACGGTAACTAAAGAAAAAAATAGTAGTTTTTTTTATATTTATTAATACAATATTATTAATTACAAATGTATTACAATACATTAAGTTATAAAAGAGCAAACCATTGACTAGAAAAATAAATTGATTAATTGAAAAATAAATAATAGCTAAAAAAGATTTCTACAAATTTAACCCGTAAAGAAATGAATAAATACACAATTTGTGAGGAAAGCAATTTTCAAAGATATAAATAAAAAAAAACTTTATGAAAAAAGAAGTCTGCTGTAATTGTTACTAAATACAAATCATCATAATATAAAAATAATACTTACCATTTCTCCCACAACCATGACAGACTTTCTTTGTAGGAGAATACACCGGCTCTACGGAAAGCCCCGCGGGGAGGGAAGCAATCCAAGATGGCTTGTTGCTACTCCAGCCTGTAATAACACATTATTTATGCTATTAATCACTAAGAATTTATGTTAAAGAAAGTTTCTATTTTCTAAAGTCAAATAGCCGTTATATAGGATGTATGATTTATACAAAACTATACAAAATCATAACGCATGTTATAACTAAAACTGCGGTGTCACCTGTTTATTAAAAAAAACCAGGGCTCGGAACAAGTTTAAAAAAAACGTTTTTTTTTTTGGTAATGTAATGAGTTAATTCATCGCTCGTTATTTAACCGCTAATCAAAACGAATGGTTTAGGAAATCGAAATACATAATAATGGTTAACGGTTATTCGTAGAGAACAATTGGATTTCGATTCGATTTCGATATATACCTATTCTAATCGCAGTATTTTTAAGACTTAGTACAATATACATATTATAGATAATACTTTCATAATTTGTACACCTCTACAAAATTTATATATATCATTTATCATTAATTATATTTTGAAATAATAAAACACTAATTTACTAAAGTGTATAAATAATAAAAATATATAATACCTCCTCCTTTATTTTCTGATGATGACCCTGATGGAGAACCTTCACGCGATGATTTATTTTGACTCTGAAAATTAAAGCATTTTATTTTAGTTCAGATAAAAATATGCCAAGAATAAAATCAGTTAAATAAATAAGATGGAATTAAATACCTGTTGTTTCCTTAATTTGGCAGAGCGAGTTTGTGGCGGGTCAGTGTGTGATTGTAGATATGGATATTGATTATATTTCTTACGTTTCTGAAAATAAATATTATATTTTATTTTTTATTTAAAAATTAGTCTCATTTTAGTGACTTACACTCGCTTCGCTCTGGTGCGTCCCTGGGTACATTTTAAATAGATATAAATAGTTATTGCGAGTGTACCTTAGGAGAAAGACATATGCTATTGCAGATTTTTCCGTAGTCTTTATTAAACTACCTACAATTTTCTAGTACATTGTTTTGATGTATCTCTTAAGGTTTAGCCAGTATTAGACATATAAATTTCTAAGGATGACTCAATAATAACAGTTATTATGTTTTCCCGTGGGAATGAAACATTTTCCTGTAGTAAAAGGTATCCTAAATGTGGACCCGAGTATAAAGTTATCACTACACAAAATTTAGTTAAAATCGGATCAGTACTTTTTGCGTGAAACGCGCACGTTGATTTCGCTAAATTACAGTTTTATTATATGTTTAAATTGTGAAACCTTGTGAAAATTAAAACACTATTTATCTCTTTGAATAAACAAAGGTGGAGCCAAAATTTTGTCGTTTTATTCCTGTGTATCACCAACTTACAGGTAACATCTCGTAACTGCCATACAGAAACTCTCCTTTACTAGTGTTGTTTGTAGATCTTTTGCGACGTTCATTTCGTTTCCTTTCTAATATATCTTTTTGGTGTGGAGTAATTAAGCCAATTAATCTGAAAAAATATCACATATGTATACATTAAGCACAAGATTACTTTATAAATTTAATTTTCCTATCTATATTATAGGCAGCATTAATAATAAAAAAGAAGACTGTGTTTTAAGAATAAAATTGATACAATAATAATATAGAGATAAGTAATACTGAATTTTTGCATTAAAAATATGTACAGGAATATAGATTTGAGAATATTTACGAAGACACGAAATCACGCTACATTTTTGTTTATTGTCAGTTTGTATGCACATCACATTCAACAAAACGTTTTTTATTTAATTTGAAACTAATTTAATCATTGAGCTAATGAGACATACAACGGTACACAAAAGTGATCAAGTTATTTATCCCATAATAATAAAAATCTCATTAATGTTATTATCCCATTAATATTATAAATGCAAAAGTTTGGATGTATGGATGTTTGTTACTCAATTACACCAGAACAGGTGAATGGATCTGGATGTTTGGCAAAGAGATACATTATAGTCTGAAATAGGTTACTTTTTATCGTGGAAAAATGTATAGTTCCCGTGGGATAGGTTTGTTATTGTTTTTCACTAGCAACAAACCTGGCCGAAGCGACGTTGAGAAGCTGTTAGAAATAAAATTCAGCCCTTATTATACTATACATATATGTATACATAGGGATATATGGAAGCAATAGGAATATTGCTGAGTGTGCACCTTCCTCAATGAAAGACACCACTGTGGCCAAACGCACATCTTTCAATAAGTAATCAGGTTCTCTCAAACATACAGGTTTCCTCACAATATTACACTTCACTTATCATCATGTTAAAATCAGATTAATTGCACATTAAAATTTGAGATACACTTGGTTTTCCAAATGTTAAATGTTAAGGCTTTTAGTTTTTGTGAACTGAATGAGGAAATATATGGTAAGCTACTACTTAGAATGAAAAAAAAACATGTCAATATAGATATTGCTTTTTTAATTTAACATCTTACTAATATTATAAAAGTGAAAGTTTAGATATTTGGATATTAGTTACTTAATGACTTCTATACACATACCTGGATGAAATTTGGCACAGAGTTTATAGTCTGGAATAGCATATAGGTTACTTTTTATCCCAGAAAAATGTACAGTTCCTGTGGGATAGATTTGTTTCTGTTTTTCTAGAGGCAAACCTGAGCAAAGCGAGGGTGAGCCGCTAGTTTTAAATAAGTACCTTAGCATGTGAAACAATAAAAAAAGTTTAAATTTACTAACCTCATAAATAATTCCTTAGATATAGGTTCACCAGGTTCTGGTAAAGGTGGTGGTGATGGTGTTGGAGAAATATCCGTTGGTGATGAATCTGAATCTGATCGCTCTTGCCAATCATCATCTTGAATTTTACTTTCTCTAAAAATAAAGAAAATAAAATATATATTTTTTTGACTAACATAGGAAAAATAGAAAAAAAGAATTATTATCAAGATTCTATGTTTTTTTTTTAATTTTACTATTACTATGAATTTGAATATTACACATTATTTATAGTATTTTTTTACTCACATGAGGGCTTCCTTTACTTTGTTCAAGGTATTAGTAAAATTAGTCCTATCATGAACTATTGGTAATTGTGAAAAATTCCTTGGAAATTTCTCCTTTTCATCGATTTCACAATTTGTATTTTCTTTTTCACTATATTTGTTTTCACTATCTGAATCCGAGGCATTGTTAATGTCATTTCCATTGTTTTCAGTTTTGATTTGTATTTCATTTAGTACTGAAGGCTTCAACAGGGACACATTCCGATTCCTATTATGATATTGTAATTGATGATCTCTTAATTGTTGAGCTACATACCTATTGTCATTCTCTATGCTCACTTGCTTGTTACGAGCTCTCAGTTTCTGTTGATACAATTCTAATTCTCTTCTAAGTCTATCTACAACTAATTTCTGAGAAAAATAAAGTTCTTAATAAAGTTTTTCATGTTTTATGACTTTTATAGTACAGCACATAAAAAAATTAAAACACAATCAAAAGTAAAAGTTAATATAAAATAAAAGTAAAAATTAATTGTTAAAATGTTATATTCATAAACTTACTTGTGCATGACCTATTGCTATTATTTCTTTTTCTGCCTCATTTACTTTACTTTTCAAATGAATATTCTGAAAAACAAATAAAAAGCAGTATAAATATTGTTTGCTTAAAGCTCAAAACAAAGAGCGAATAAATATTATTTGTTCTTACACTTTCGTCATCTTGCAATCTTGCCACCCATATCTAAAATGAACAACAATTCATTTCATTATTTTGGAAAATTTAAAATCTATGAACAAAAATAATAAAAATAATAAAAGCTTGAAGAAAACAAATGATAAATTAAAACATACCTGATGAACTTTTATGGCATTTTTCAAGTCCGACTGCGTTTTACGAATATCTTCTTTTATTTCGTTAGACACTTCCATCATAATACTTTGAGTAATAGTTAACTGTTTAAAACAAATAATCAAGTCACTAAATTCTTACACAAGTAGTTAGATATTGTCACTTATCTCATTTCGCGCACATTCATCTATAATCTAAATTCTACAATTTAACGTACTGGAAGAAAACTATATTAACTATTTTCGTAATAATTAAAACAACTTATACCCTATTTTTCAAAGTATTAAACAATTATTATTACTGTTTTAATATTTTTGGAATCAAGGTCTTTTTCTCTTTGCCTTCATATTCATATTTCATATCCCCTAAAAATATATCTCGAAACTTGTACCTAACTTGTAAGCAGATTGCAGAAACTAAATAGAAATGTTAATGTATACATATACATTTAATTTTATAATATATGTATATTGTAATTTGTAGGTTTTGTTATTTTATCTATGTATGAGACTATGAGTATCTTTTGAATACCTATGAATAGTATCTGTTACAGTGTACTTATTTCTTTTTTTTATTTCACTAACGATGCTTCCGTGTGCTAAAATATTGAGAGTTATAAAAACTTTGTCCTATTCTAAAAGAGGCTTCCGTCTCTTTTTATTAGGGTGTCCACAAAATCGCATCGTAATCGTTTCTTTGATAAAAACGAATGTTTATTTAATTATCATAAATGAAAAGTTACTATTTTATAACAGCTTTAGCGGTGTAGTCCAGTCTATTAATAAAAAAAGGCTTGATCTCATTAAAATATAGTGAAAAATTTAATTTATTTATTTATAATTTATTAATTAATTTATAATTAATGCGATAGTGGCGTCAGTGCCTCGCGGGCGACACCTCAAATTTGGCTTTAGATATCAAAATATGACAATATCGTGGAAATTGCTTTATTTTATATAGGTTCACCTATTGACTAAATTATTTGTGTGTATCGTGTTCAATAAGCTTCTCTTATCCTTCTTTTTCCCAATGGGGAAGAATTTTGCCCTTTTCTCCCGCCAGATATCGCGATCACAATGGCCCTCAGTATATTGTAAAGCTCTATAGCGTGGATGGATATTTTTTTAAATTTTGTTCCCAAAAGACAAAAACTGAAGAAATTGTGGGCTAAAGCAATAAGACGACCAAAATTGGCGAAATCACAATATTTATATTTAAGGTCATGTGGGCATAATTTTAAAGAAAGTAATTTTAAAATTCTTAAATCGTCTACAAGTGAATATTTTTTTTTATTTTATGTACTTTGTTACATATTAATTACGGAGTTTCATACAAACTTTCATCCCCCATTTTACACCCTTATGGAATTGAATTTCGAAAAATAATATAACAGGTATTTATTTAATTGTATTGTAGAGCATTAATACCAAGTTTTAAGTAATCTGATCATAAATAATTCTTTGCCCATATACCCTGTTTCCTTATTACAAAGTATAATGCCGCATTTTGGCGCACAAACACGAATAACACGAAAAAACACTTCTTTTATTTTCTGCTACTGCTTTTTCGCAAAATCGAAAAATTCAAAGTTGAGCATTATGCCGCGTAATGTGCTTACGTAACGGTTACGTACGCTACACTTTAATATGCAAACATGCATAGGCAAGAACTAAAAAGTTTATAATTTGGCACGTTTTGAAGGAAACTTGAATCGAATAAAGCACATTATTATCTATGAGCTCATATACGAAGAGGAATGGAATTGGACGATTCGATGGAATCGTGGAGTAGTGTGTACTTGCCATTAATTTTATTATAGAACTTTAAACCTGTTTATATTCTCAGATTATGATCATTTATGAAACTAAATATAATAGCCAATTATATAATTATATGGTTAAACTCAAAAACTTTGGGTTGAAAATTACTTTAACTTTTAAACGTGTCTTTAAACGCTTCAAGAATCAATTCGTCAGTCAAAATGTAAATTGACAATTATTGACATTTAAAAATTAAAATGTGCAATGCCGTCGCGTCGAGTTTCGCTTTCGTTTCACTCTTCTGTAAAGTGCAATAATTGGTGTTTTGGCCGTTCATGGTGTCTGGGTGTTTGTGGTGTTTCCGATAGCCAAAAATTACTAAATATTTATGATTGAAGGCTTTATTATTCTATTTATACAAATATCTAGTATACATTTACCTTTCGTTACAAGCGGCAACTAATGATAAACTGATTACCAACACACTTCCCTACATAAAAATGTCAGTGAAGAGGCAGGCTACAACTGAACTGAACCATGAAAACTGGGATCAAGATGACCCTGCAGACCAGGAAGAAGAAGGAGGTGGTTTCAAAATGGCTTCAAAAGAAATTCTTGAAAAACGTGTTATACGAACCGCTAAAAGGCGCTCGCAAGCTACTGGCGATGAGGTATGTTGCATATTTCATTCTTGTATTTTACAAAACCTATTAGTAACAGTTTTATTTTTATTTGCCACCTAATTTATTCAAATATGATTATAAATTATTAGATCTTAGTATAATTTCTATTGAACTATTCTAGTGAAGGAGGTATGCTTTAGTTAGTCTCTAATTTATTTTTTGTATCATATTAATTTCCTAAAGAATCTTATGATGAACTAAAATAAAAATTGGCCAGTCATTCTCCAGTAATTTAAAAAATTACATATATCCAAAAATTACCCTCCTGCCTCCTTAGCCTCCAGCTCAGCTATCACAATGTTGCTTCGCTATGTAAAGCAACTGACTTTATACAATAGTTTTATTTATACCACATAAAAATCGTTTTTCTCATGTTTTAAACATACTTACATTTATAATATTAGAATAGATTAATAATAAGAATAATTGTACCAGTAATTATTTTATATTACTAGTCGATATTTGCTTTACTTGTCTGTTTAATTTGAAAACTTTTACTTTGAAAACATTCAATTACTGATGTTTTTTAATTTTTATGTTACAGGCAAAGAAAAGTGTCTTCAGTGGATTTAGTGGTTTTAATAAAACTCAACAATCCTCCTTTGATTTTCTAGCAAACTTGACAAATGGAAACAAAGCTAATAATGGAATGTCTGCAAATAAGGATGATATAACCGAGACTTCTAATTCAAATAACAATAAACCTGCAACTAGTCCCAGTAGTAATATTTTTGGTTTATCAGGAACATCAACTCCTTTAGCAAAGTCAACATTTGGCAAACAAAATACTGAATCAACACTTTTTGGTAATACAACATTTTCACAATCAGTATTTGCACCAAAACCCAATTCAACAGGGAATGTCAGTCCTTTTAAGTCTCAATCTATCCAAAATTCGACTTTAACCAATGAACTAACTTCTAAACCCATTGACAATGCTGAGAAATCAGTTACACAGGGATCTTCAACTATTTTTGGCACATCACCAGTTGTTGGTAATAGTCCAAAGTCTCTTTTTACAACCAGTACAAGCAATAATTCAAGTCCTTTCAAAACTCAACCAGGAACAACTTCACAACCTAATATAGATAATAAAACTGCCAGCAAACCAGAAGTTCAAGACGACAAAAAATTGATTTACTACAATAAACTTAAAGGTTTAAATGAGAGTGTGTCAGCTTGGATTAAAAAACATGTGGAAGAAACTCCCTTATGTATATTAACACCTATTTTTAGAGACTATGAAAAACATTTAAATGAAATTCAAAGTGAATATGAAACAAGCAAAGATAAAATCGTCGCTAAAGAAAATACTGACACAAAACAAAACAATGCAAACCAAAATTTGTCTACCGTTCCAAGTAGTAATATAGGATCATCTTTGTTTTCTGCAACAAAATCCAATACATTACTGTCGTCTAACACAAGCAGTACTCCTGAAAAGACATCCAATTTTACATTTGGTATAAACACATCATCTACTGTTTCATCAACAAGTAGTTTTTCAACATCAGCTACATCTAATGCAGGATTTTCATTTGGTGCTAAACCATTAACTACAAGCTCTTCTCCATTTGCAATGAACACAACAAATACAGGTGCTAGCAGTACTCCATTTTCTTTTGGAACTGGAAAACCCTTTAGCTTTAATGCAAACATCAAGAAGCCTGAGGAACCAGCTAATGAAACAGAAGAAAATGAAGATGAACCACCAAAAGTTGAATATACCCCTATTGTTGAAGATAATAGTGTATTTGAGAAAAAATGTAAAGTATTTGTAAAGAAAGATGGTAATTTCATTGACAAGGGAGTTGGCACACTGTATATAAAAAAAATTGAAGAAAGTGGCAAAAATCAATTGTTAGTTCGAGCAAACACTACTTTGGGTAATATTTTGCTGAACTTCATTTTAAGCTCATCTATAACTACTCAACGTATGGGTAAAAATAATGTAATGATGGTTTGTATCCCGACCCCAGATGCAAAACCTCCACCAACACCTATCCTCATAAGAGTTAAAACTTCAGAAGAAGCCGATGAATTGTTGGAAATATTAAATAAATATAAAGTTTAAAGGGCTTCTTTCCCAATATCAATTTTAAATGAATTCTAATAAAGAATTATTATTATGATTCCAATTTCATGGTTGATGTGTATGTTAGCATAGTAAATTTTGAAATAAAATGTTTTAATATACATTCCTAGGGAAATCATATTAACAGTATTGTCTTTAAAGATAGTAAAATATTAGACTTGTTTTATTTTTACCTAATGTCCTAAATAATAATATGTATTGGGCAATAAATTATAAAGAAAGATAATATTGCAGGATATTTTAAATAGCATAAAATGAAACAAAAATTATGAAAAAAGAAATCTTATGTGTTTATTAATTAATATCAATTGCACTAACAATTCTGATAAAATATAAGCTTTAATAAAGGGTATACTTTTATAAACTGATAATAATTTATGGCATTTAAAATAAACAACCTGTCATGCTTTATATCTTACAATTTTAGTTCCTAATATACATTTACATATATTACCATTTTTATTGTACTTATATTAATCTTACTTTTCTGTAGGTTACATTAGACAATTTAACTAAAACAATTAATCTAGACACATAATTGTATTTTCCTCAATTTTTAAATTTCATTTAACACAAGCATGTTTTTAAAAACTCATAAAGCAATAACAAGTAATATTTAAATATTTTTATACTTATAGTCACAAATATATAATATTATGTGCCAGCCACACAACTACTTGATACCATTTGACCAAGACCCATTTGAATTTTTTGCATATGAAGTTCCACATTATTTTGAAACAGTCGTTGATATTGAGGGTCTAGTTTTAACTTTATTTGGTCCATAGTTCCTTGCAATACACTTAGCTCATAAGCATTTTGGTCAGAGTCTGAGAGACTTTTAACTTGCAACATTAAAGCAGTTAAGTCTGTTACAAGATCTATAACATTTGATTCCTTAATAGATCCATTATTATTTTTTTCTACTAATACAGCTGCTTCTTCTCTGCATTTTTCCCGCAGATGAGAAGGCGCTAACATAGCAGCCAGGCTTGGACCTGGAGCTATCTGCTGACAATACATTTGTATTTCATTTATATATTCTTGTAAGTCCATATTCATTCTTTCAAGATCAATCACTACCGCAGCATACTTTCTTTCAAAATCTTCAGGCATTCTTTGCCCAAAAGATTTTCTTTTCTCAGCTTCACAGTTGTATTCCTTTAGCCTATTTATTTTACTTCTCTTTGCTTGCAAAACCTTAGTCAATTTTACTATTAGCTCTAGTAATGGAAAAGGATAGCCTCCTTTGTTTGAATCAAAATGTTTGGCTAAATCACTACATCCTATCATAGGGTCACCTTGACTGTTACTTTTATTAGGCAAAGAAGGTTGGTAAAGATTAAATATTTCTTCCATTACATATCTAGGCCTAAATTTTTGTGTGATACTAGACAGACAAATTGTATCAGGTGGCTCATTAGAGAGCACTTCGTAATCTGGAACAGAATGTGTTCCAAGCTTTGGCCTTTCAAAAGTAATTCTGTATGTGTTATTTGATGTATCTACAGCATCAATACATCCTGTAAATAAACCATCTTGGGGTTTTCGCAGCCTTGCAGTGACTTTAGTTCCAACAACAAGTTGCATAGGAATTTCATTTGGCAAGTCTTTTACACAAATATCAGCGGTTTTCCTTTGTTGAATATACCTAATTAATTTTCTTTTTCTTTCTAATTCTTTCCGCTCTTCTGCAAAAAATGCTTGAGAACATCTACGGGGCTTACCCATCATTCTTCTTATTTTTGCCCACTGAACTTGGGTTAACTTTTTATTGGCCAATTGTGGAAATGACTCTTTAAGGCAAATCATAAAATCATTTTCTCCGTCAAATAGAGCTTTGTCTATATTACTGTAGAAATATTCAAAACATACCCATTTATGTGCTTTAGGTAATTTTAAGAGATTTCTTAGTCTCATACCAATCCGCTGACCACTTTTTCTATCTGGTGATTGTTTTTCTTCTCTTTCTTCATATTTTTCGTTAGTTTTAGGAGTTTTTGATGGTGATTTTTGTTTTTTTCCACTTTGCTGTTTTATTGGAGACTTTGTCAATATCTTTGGAGTTCGTTTTGGCGACTGCCGTGGAGGTGAACTATTTACAAAATCATCAACGAATATAAATCTATTTTTTTTTCTAATTCGAGCAGGCATACCTCTAGCATTTAGCTTCTGAACTGGTTCACTAGGTGCTGGTTTTGGCGGCAATTTAGTACCAACTCTATGAAGTCCGAGAGCAGCGGGGCCAAAAGCAGGAGGCTCCTCGTCTTCTTCAGGAAAATCTGTATCCATTGGTTCATCCTTAATTCTTAAATGAACCTTTCCCGAGCTTTTTTCTTCGTTTATTCCTGTACAGAAAACAATAAAATGTAAGTAAAAGCAATAAGTTTCCCTTATTTTGATACGACATTGTACTAAAAGTCAATTGAAAAACAAGTACTTTAAGTTGAAATGTAAATATTTATTTAAAATAATATGACAATTCGGCTACAAATTTGAATTATTTCAAATTTTGAATCTTGATGTACATTATTCATTCCAAAGTAGACGGTTTCAAGTAGCTTAAAAATAGATAAAAATTTGAATTTTTATAAAAAGAATTTAAATTGTAATGTCATAACCATCGAAAAGAATACAATTTAAGTAATTTAAAATATAAACAAACTTACTTTCCCATTTATCCGCCATGTTGATGTCGTAAATTTGATTCAATTTGAAGATCGAGAGCGCCAAGTTTATCAAATGACAATGCAGTCTTTACACTATGGTACATTTTTATTTACATCATGGTCCATGGATGACAAATAAGAGTTACATGATTTACATTATGTTGATAGGCTATTTAACAAAAAATGAATGATTTTGTAGCTTTGAAATGCTATAGCACCATTTCAATTATTTCACTTATATTATAATTATATAGGATTATGGATAGCATTTTTACTATCATTGTTTTTTTTTTAACTAATTATACTTGGAAGTTTGAGTCGCTATTTTTTCGATTACAATACGTTTGAAATGTTTCATTTATTATATTTGATTTCAAGAAAACCTTAAGTCCATTTTCCCACTTTAAAAAAACTAATTTCTTCTAATCTTTTAATTTTCGTTTATTGAAACTATTTTTTAAAATAGATTAATGTAAATTATAAAAAAATGAATATATAAAGCTAAAATTAAATAATATTATCCTAGGGCGTTTTCTAATTACAGCACTAAAGCGTATTATATGGTATAATGCTCATTTTTGAATTTTTCAACTACAGTAACGCTCCACACAATCAAGCACTTTGAAAAGTACTGCTTTGGCGTGACCAACCCACTAGCAGAAAATAGAAGTGTTTTTTCGCGTTGTTCGTGTTTGTGCGCCAAAGTGCGGCATTATACTCGGTAATTAGAAAAGGGGGCTAGTCTCAAAATTAAACAAACAAATTAAAAATATAAATATAAGATTGTCTACATTTATATTCTTACAAAATCTTAAGAATTTATTTTTGTGATATACATAATTACTTTTATAACCTGATAGAATAAATAAAAAGAATAAAGAGTTTTGAAATTAATTGAGTGAAATTAAATAAGTCCTTTCACTATTTTGTAATGCGTTTGAAGCCTTATCTGTATTAATATATAAAATGTTCATAGTTAAAGCCGTTGCAGTGCACTGGATTTAATGTTTTTGATGTTGATCCCTCTGGATTCTTAATAAATTATTAGTTTTTAATCTTCTTATCTCTTCACTTTTTAACTTCAGAATCAGCATGTCAATTAATGTTTATCATATTTCTAACGGTATATTTATCTCGCAGATAAGGAATAGTTTATAAATGCTGCACATAACTCATTTACCTTCATTACACTGTACCTGTGTGTAGTTCGCAGATGACGTTGACGTTATCAGTCTAACTTTTAATTATACTGTAAAGTCCGCATTGCAACGCGCTATTACTTATCGAAAATGAAAGTTTTTAAAAGTTGATTGATTAAAAACTTTTAAGAATATTAAAAAAGTGTGAAAATGAATGCTAAAACATTACTCCTGTGTGTCTTCGTTGGTGTTTTGTTTAAGGAAATAAATTGTAAGTTCTTACTCACATTATTTACTACGGATATGTTTTCAAGGTAAAGTGAGAGTTATGTGAGTTGGAAATGAATGTTTCTATAAACTTACTACTTAGGCCTATTTACGTTTAATATAGAAATCTAAATTACGTAATTTATTAATATAAACTAAAAGTTATTTAGATATTTTTAAATAGTTAAAAATAATGATTTCTATTGTAGTATTAAATGGAATTTATTCTTTTACATATTTTTTTGTTATAATATAGTCATTAATCAACGATTAAAAAAATATCTAATGTACTCATTATCATTAGTAAAATAAGTTACTAGCTTTTTAAAAATATATAGGCACTGTAGACAAGGAAAATCACATATTTCAAGACAGTACAGCTAACATTATATTACCTGTTTTTTAAATATTTTTTCATAAAGAAATAATTGTTTATTATAGGCCTACATAAACGATGTATGAAGTGCAGATCAAGAGGTGAACTAGGATCATGTGGAGATCCTTTTCCGTTTAATGTGACTGAGCCTGAAGCAGAAGCTGGTATACATGTGGTAGCCTGTCCCTCTGGTTGGTGTGGCAAGATGATTGAAGGAACAACAGGAGCATTTAGAACTGATGGTATATTTTTTTGTGTAATTTGCAAAGCATAATGTTTTTTTTAAGGTTTTTCTTGTTATTGTTGTTTTTTAAAATTACAATTATAATGTTAAACAATTACAGATTATGGAGCGGCTACACAAAGAATGTGTCTCCAGAGATCCCCAAGTGATGATGAGGAAAGATGTGCATATACTATGTGGAACCATAGAAAAGTTTACATGTGCTTTTGTAATGGTGATCTTTGCAATTCAGCATATAAAATCTCAAGCCCTCCAATACTATTGACCTCAATTTTTATTATTATGTACAACTACTTCTATTATGATAATAATTTATAGCTTTACAACTTAAACTGTATGTTATGAAAATGTGATATTTTTAATTTTTTATCTATCTATATCGTATTTTTATGTGTAACTCATCATAATATTAAATCTATAAGATGAATGAAATCCTTAACTACTTGAAACCTAGATAAGTGATAGCTCTTATGAAGTCATTAAAAAAAATTTAAAAATTAATTAGATAAGCTAAATGAAACCACATTTATAATCTATTTATTCCGTCCAATTATGTGGTTTTTTTTAGATAAATATTAAGTCTTGATATAAGTCAAGGCCTAGTTGACATAATAATTTACAATAATATAGGATGTTTTTAAAGATGTACTTAATGATTATGATCTTGTCATAAAATATGCTTGAAATAAGCTTAAAATAAAACAATTCATCAAGTTGAGGTATATTTTTATAAATACTATTATGTAAAATAGATATAAGAAAAGTACATATTGTATACAAAATACAGCATAAACATTATAAACATATAAATAGCATTTTTATTACTCAAGGCCTGTTAAATGGCCAGGTTTTACGTATGCTTGCAATCCTGTGTGGTTCTAAATTGTTTTTAATCCTGAGGTCTTGGTTTGCCAAAAGTGATGGTATGTGAGGTATGTCATGGAAGTACAATTCACCATGATGTTTAGCTTTAACAACAGCCGCTACTGCTTCCGAACCTTCCAATAAGTAAGGGTCCTCTTCATCTTTATCTGTAAAGATAACATGATTAATTTCATTTTTGATTCTATAAAAAATAAATGCAGTGAGAAGAAATTACATAAGTAATCATTTTTAGTCAAAAAAATTATGCTTCTCACATCTTACAAATTAAGTTGTTCTTACATTTTAAAAAATTACACTGACCCCTAATTATATTTTTAAAGTTGTACCTTTTCACATACAAAGTGATAACAATAATTTAAGTCGATGTATAATATGAAATAAAAAGTCGCGTATGTTTTCATATCTTACTGTTGTTTTTTAATCCACGGATTTTATACCAGTGGGCAAATGACAATATGAGGATTGCCGGATTCACTAGAACAGCTTTAAACTATACAAATATATACATTCAATATTCAATTACTTTATTGATATAATTTATTGAATCAAATAAGATCGTTAACTCAGATTTAGTTGTCATTTAAATATCTTTTTGTTGTAGTTAACGAACAAAATATGTATGTGTCATCAAAAAGTTCAGAAAGATAGACCCTGTAGAATCTTATAAATATCTATTTTGAAATCATATCGGAAACATGTCTACTTTACATAATAAATTATCATACATAGAATATACATACAATAGTACGTAGCAGGTACCTACCATTTTTGCCCGTATCAGAACGACGTGAACCGATCCGTGGTGGATTCAATGGTGGTATAAATAGCCCGATAGGCCAAAGCGACTCAGGATCAGGAGAGTCCACCTTATATGGAGAAGGTGGCAGTATTTGTATTTGGGCACCTATAGGAAAAAACCATATTTAGTAAGCTACTGCCTGTGAATTGTTTTTGACATTTCTATATAGATCACTAGCGACTCGCCCTAGCTTAGCTTGGGTTCATCCCGAGGTTTGATGGTCAGTATGGAATAGATAGACTATATGTTATATGATATATACTTAGCCTATATCCTTCTTCAATAAACGGGCTATCTAATGCAAAAAGAATTTTTCAAATCGGATTAGCGGTTCCTGAGATTAGCGCGTTCAAACAAAAAATAAACAAGCAAATAAACTCTGCCTCTTTATATTATTAGTATAGATAACCACTATACAATTATATATAACATGACCCCTGCTTTATATGAGAGCGCGTAGGATGTAGAACCCAAACTGTATTTATTTATTTACATTATTATATATATTTTATTTAACCACAGAATTACATAAGGCAATAACTCAAAAACGAGCAAGTGAACAAACATTCTTTGGTTTAGGAAATAAAGAAGCCTATATACTTACTATATTATATGTGGGCGGTGTTTACATATTATGCAATGCATAGTAATTAATACTTTGAAATTCCACATTTATGTGACCGATAAATTATAAAAATTAAAACCCGTAAAAACTAACTAAAAAGATAAAAACGAGTTGACAAAGGAATAAAAACAGTTTTTTTAAAAAAAAACTTATGAAATAAGATATTTGTCACTTTTTATACTTTAGTCCTTTATAAAATAACGCTTTTACCATTTTTTGTAGAAACCCTTGGCCGATAGAGTCGAAGTGCTAAACACTTCTTAAACACTTCGTCGTATCACTTCTACTGGTGGCAGCAGAACTAGCTTATTTTTGCCATTTAGCGGGGGAATGCGTCGAGCATTCTTGCCACAATTCCCCGCAGACATGACTTATACAGTAATAATTAGGTGTACATTTGGTTTTTTACTTTTAATAATATATTATTTAGTACATTTATAAACTTTCTTTAATCAAAATGTCAACTCAATAAAAACAGTTTTTTAAAAAAAAAAAACTGTTTTTATTGGTGCCTGAAATCCGCTATTTTGATTTTTAATAATATTTATGAATTATGTACTCTAAATAGACCTAGAGAATAGAGTGAGAAATACTGAAGTCCATCCAATCCAGTCCATTCCAAGTTGAATTTATAAATAGAATGTAAAAAAATATAATATTATAATTTACTAGCATTGCCCGTGGCTCCGCCCGCGTTCAGATGACCAAAAAGCATATTCTTAGGTTTTATATATTACTCGTAGTATACTCTTACAATGCAGTTTTTGTTTTTTTTTCTCAGAAATGAGATATTTTCCCGCGGTAAAAAGTACCTTATATGTTGACCCGGATAACCAGCTAACATCATACCAAATTTCATCAAAATCTGTCCAGTGGTTTTCTCGTGATGCGATAACAGACAGACAGACAAAGATTAAAAATTTTAAGACAAACATATAGATTCGGTCTCTGTATCGATAATAATGTCTATTTCAATAAGATTCTCCAAAGAATTGTGTAATGTACAGATTCGACTTAGTTACAATTTTATTATATGTATAGATTAAAAATTATATTATTATAATGGAATGTAAAATGGTTATAAATTCTAAATTGAAAAAATCTTGTTAAAAAATCTTCATTAATCGTATTCCACGTGACTCTATGTCAAGGATAATCTAACGAAGTATGAATCATCAAAATCGGTTAAGCCGTTTAGTAATTATAAGGGAACTTAGGATCGGACATACATACAGGTCAAACACATAATCCTCCTTTGGGCTTCGTCGCCGGTAAAATGAAATATTACACACTCGTACTTTTCTATACTACCTACTTATCCCGGTGGTGAGTACATTAACAAGTACATATTACACAGTACAACAGGGGTCATGTTTAGTTATCAGTTACTACTTGCGAAATTCCAGACAGTTGCTTGTGTTACAGCATACAAAACATTGGGTTAAATATTGGTTAACTTTGTTATTAGTTGTTGAGTTATTAGGAATGAAATTTGAATGTTTCAGTTAATCTTATAAATCATAATATTATTATTATTAATTCTTGTATATATATATATATATATAAATTCTCACGACTCTAATGATTTCGATTTGTATTTAGATAAGCTTTTGCTTTTAATGGTTATATAATATATAATAGGTGTTTTTTCTGAAAAAAAAACGCAATTTTATATTATATCTGATAAACGCCGAGCGAAGCTCGCTCGCCCAGGTACTGTTAATTTAATGGTCATACGTAGTTATTTAATTAAAGTAAGTTTCATAATAAGTTCTTTATCCATATAACGTACTGTCAAAATTATTGAATCGCCATGGTGTACCGATCTTGTTACCATGGCTTACTTCTTCAACTTGGAACGGTATAGCTGGCTTTTCCCGAGGATAACCACTAGATTGCGTTGTTGGTCCTGAAAAAAAAAATTTTGGTACTTAATGTCAATATTCTCAACAGATATTCGATATACAAAGATAATATGGCCATATTTATATTATTATATAATGCGCGATGTCCTTTCCGGTGGTAAATCGGGGTGCAAATAAAAACTTAAAAAAAATCGACTTAAAAACACTAAAAAGTAAAAAATGACTGGTAGTTTCATTTACTCTAGTAATACCTAATCAGATATTTTCGAAGTCGATGTGCTTTGACTTAAATCACTTCCTTCCGTTTTTTTATGTAGACATACCTACTTAGTAACAAAATGAGAAGAAAATATTTTACAAATACAGTACGTGAAAAATCAATCATCCCCTATTTTCTACACATAGGGATGGCTTTTTTTTCAAATTTAAATGGAACCATTTCGGAACAAACCTCTTTCGAACAAAAAAAGAATTTAGCAAATCCGTCTACCTACCTATATATATTATGACGGACTTATGCCCAAACATAAAAAAAATACAAACATCCGAATTGAGAACCTCCTCCTTTTTTGAACTTGGTTAACTGTCTTATTCTATACATATGAGGTCTGTGTGCAGTTCACGCAGAAAGTACTGAATTGATTTGAACTAAATTTTGTGTAGTGATAATTTATCCCTCAGGACAACTATTAGGATACCTTTTACTGCAAGAAAATCTTTCATTCTCACGGGTAACTCATTAACTGGTTCTATCAAGTCCTAAACCTTAAGAGATACACCAAAACAACGTAATAGAAAATTGTAGATCTTAAATGGGCCTTCAGAAAAGTCCGCAATAGTATATGTTTATCTCTTAAGGTACACTCGTAGCAACTATTTGTGAAGTTTCTATTTCTTTCGGTGCGTTAAGAAAAATGAAAAAATGAATATATGTAATTATGTTCAGTATGAAGTTATTAGTTATTAGCTACTGTGTGAAGTTAGTCGTTAAATCTCCCTTAAGTGCGATGTCTATTCTATCATCTATGTCCACTTCCCAGTGTCCGATTGAGCTGAAATTTGGCACACGTATTTGATTCTCGTGACTGAACGATTACCTAAATGCCGTCATTTTTAATATAATATGGCGGACGTTACAAAATGGCGATTTATCATTTCCATAGTGACTCTTATGATATTGGGCATCAAATGAAAAGGCTTGAAGAGCGAAACATTATAATCAAAGTGACGTCATTGTCAATCCAATATGGTGGGCTCCCAAAGAGGCGGACTGTTTTTTATGGACTTCCATAATATGGATATCATATGAAAGGGTGTGTTGAGAAGAATACGAAAAAAAACCAAAATCTTTAAAAAGCTTAGACATAAAAAAAAGCTTTTATTTTAAATAAAAGCTTTTTTTACTCGTACTTAGTACCTACCTACTCTAAAAAAAACAAAGAAGTAGGTATAACTTCCTACGTCCGTGCATAAGTACAAATATATATATTTTTTATTAATTTAAAACGGACTTAGGGATGCATCCGAGTGAAGCCAGGATAAATAACTAGTTATATGTAGCCAAATCATTGAAATCGGCTCGTATTTATTATATAATACGAATACCTAACGTTTTTTTATCCAATATGGAAAAAATAATTTTTGTAAATGCAAATGTTACTCATCGTTTAATTCAGTAAATAAATAAAAAATAAATATGTTGGGACATACAGCACCATCTAGTTCCATGGTGAGCTACGAGGCTTGTGTTATGGGTACCAAATAGATGATACACTACACATATATAACTTTAAATACATACATATTATAAATATAAACACCAAGGACTGGAGTAACAAACATTCGTGCTCATCACATAAATAAACACCGCCAACGGGACTCGAACCCGCAACCACTGGCACAGCAAGTGGATCACTACAAACTGAGTCAAACGCGTCGTCAAACACACGTAGAGTACATTTAAAAATACCTATCGGTGCGTCAATACAATAATGGGTAATTTTGCATCTGTTAAGTTGTATAGGCTACTATTATTATAGGTACGTGTTTTAGCTCACGAAACTGTTAGCCATCCAAGAATTTCCATCGACAATTACCCATTGATTATCTGTAATTTATCTTGTTTCCTAACTTTATTTTGAAATTAGTAACACCGGCCTCTTTATATTTAAAATTTAAATCCTTACTATCTCTTATTAATTTTTATTACAATTTTAATGTTCTGTGTAATATTTTATGATTATTAAGTTTAAAAAGGGATGACATATTTGTATAATAAATTAAGTTAGAATAAGTAGGTACTAAATATTTCCCCCGGGATGTGTGTTCACCTTGTCGTGGTGGGGGAGGTTATTAACTCATTAACTCTCATGGGGGAGGTTCTCTTGGGCTTTAATGGGTAGTACTGGGTCCCGCTCGACCACTGGGAGCGAACGGACGCGCTCAGATCGTCGAAAACGGCGCTCCGGTTGAAGAAACAGTAAAGAAACGGCGTTAAAAGTTATAAAAATCGTTAAATAATAGAAAAAGGACTGAAAATTTGCTAAAAATTGTTTTAAATAGTGTGTTAAGTGTTAACGTATATTTATATAACAATAGTGACAAAAATTGTGCACGAAATTAGCAAAAAATTGACAAAAAGTGACAAAGTTGAAAAATTTCAAACTGTTTTCGCGTGCGCTGCTCGATCTAGATCGACAACGTATCAATTTTATTTGTGCGTTTTAAAGTGCTCCCCAAGATCTTTCAAACGACACCACTCCCGGATTTTTCCGACTCCGGGAAGTGGTCGAAAAGCTCAAAAAAATAAGTTTGACGAATTCTCTCTTTCGCAAACGGAGAGAGACGGAGACTCCTACCCACCAATACTGGAAAGAGCAAGACGCGCAGATTACAAAAAGGTATCGTGCAAAGCCGTATCTAAAATAGTGACGAAGTTATAGACATTTCAAATTTCGAAAAATAAGTGCTGAACTTTAAAGGAACTTTATAAAAAAAAAAAAAAAAAAAAATCTACAGTGACGACCCCCCCTAAAATTTATTCCAAATTAAAGAGCAACTCTTCAAGATTATCACAGAAAAAACCGCATCGAAATCCAATCAGTAGTTTTTAAGAAAATAGCCAATCTATAAAATAGAACAAAAGTTCACTATCCTTTGTATATACCTACTACAATAGTATTAGATAGATATATTTCCAATTCGGAAATTATTTAAGATATAAATAGTGTTTTAAGATAGATTTAATTAGGACATAGACAGCGGACCTATACACCGCGAAAAATATTATCATAAGACTGTGACTTGAGCCCTGTACACTCAAATATTAGCAGTAATTTAATAAAAGGACGAGAGCCGGACTCAAACATGCAGAGGACACCCTCCAAAACGTCCAAACCGCCAGCGGCCAAGGCGAAAACCGCTAAACAACAAGCCACGTCGAGCAAAATAGCAAAAATGGAAACACCGACATCACCATCACCATCAAAGCTACCAATACCCCCACCCGTACCTTTACCTCTACCCCCTAATGTAACTAAACTAATAAGGCAAAGATCTGATATCATGCCTCCTAAACAAGAATTAGATAGTAGAGCAGAAAAACATTACGACGCCATTATCGAAAACCTAAACAAATCAGGGAACATAAAATCAACAATAAAAGAAAATATAAACTTTCATGCAACAAAATTGTACCATATGTTAGATTCCATAAACTGCGAGATGACAGATTTAGCCAGAGAGGTACTAGCGGCGGTAATGGAAAGACTCGACCAGACACCAGTACAAGTAAAACAACAGCAGGAAACAGAAGAAATAAAGAATAAACTAGACCAATTTTTAGAACAAGTAAAGACACAAAATTTAGAACTAAAACAAGAAATCTTGGACTTGAAAACGGAATTAAGAATAATAAAGGAGGAGAAAAGCAACAACAAAATGGTGGAAGAAATACAAAAACAAAACATACTAAGCGAAAAAACTCAAAAGGACCTACAGGAAATTAAAGAAGAGATTAAAGCAATACCAACAACACAACCTACACTAACCGAGAAGCCAATACCAACACCAGCATCCTACTCGCAAGCACTACAACAAGTACCACTACCAAAACCGACCCTCTGCCTACTTGTAGGTACGGAAGATGTAAACGACACTAGCGAAGAAGTCATAACGAAGATCAAGAAAACCCTAAACGCGAGAAATACCGGACTCCAGATTTCTAAGCTGAGAAAGGTAAAGGATCAAAAGGTGCTTATCGGTTGTGACAGGAAGGATGACATAGATAGCATAAGGGAGAAACTAGAAAAGAACAAATTCAGAGTGGAAACCAAAGAAAATAAGGACCCTCTAGTAATTATCCGGAATGTTAACAAAAGCAACACAGACGAAGACATATTGCAATCACTAGTAAAGCAAAATTATGAAATATTAGATCACATACCAACAGAAGAGTATAGAATGAAGGTTAGACATCGACGAAGGGCAAGGAACCCGATGGAAACCCACGTGGTTCTAGAGGTATCCCCACAAGTTTGGAAGGCGCTAACAACAGCCGGTAAAGTTTACGTGGACATCCAAAGGGTCCCAGTGTTTGACCTTTCACCACTGGTGCAGTGCTCACGATGTCTGGCATTTGGACACGGGAAGAAATGGTGCACGGAGAGTGTGGACCTGTGCAGCCATTGCTCCGGCCCTCACATGCGTAGCGAATGCCCCAGCCAGCAGGCAGGTGAAGAACCTTCTTGTAAGAACTGCCAGCAGGCCAAATGTGCGAAGACCAACCACAACAGCTTCGACGTGCACTGCCCAGTGAGGAAAAAATGGGATGCCCTCGCCCGTTCAAGTGTGGCTTATAGCTGAGGCCAAAAATAGAACAGGAGAAATCGCATCAGACTCCAATAAGCAAGGTATAATGACTATACCTCGAGGCAAAATATACTTTACCCCGAAAGCATGAGTCGAAACAGCACAATAGAATACGCCACTGCAAACCAGAAACAGAAAACATAATGTTTTGCTGACCAGTGTTAATTCAGTAGGACCACAACCACAAACAATAATTATATTAAAATTAAGTAAATAAAATTAGTACTGAAAAAAAAAAAAAAAAAAAAAAAAAAAAAATTAGATAAAAATATACAGTACTTACCTAGCAGTAGTAAAAGATAATTGTAAGAAACTAGTATTAACCTATATTATAAATAATATAAGCATAATACTTAAGAAAAAGATAAAAGCATATGTATATAGAAATAGAAACAACACAACAACCATCTCTAGGATAAAATAATGTATAAACTAAGAAATAGAAATTACACGGCAAATAAGCTAAGATAAAAATTAAGTAGAAATAAAAATTACTACCTTCGCCTTGTAATGTATACAAATAAAATATAAGAAATAAGTAAACAATTTGTAAACAAACACTGTAATAACTTTGGATAACAAAAGATAGCTTCTCTCAATAGAATAAGAAATAGTAAACAACAAATGTAAAAAATCAAAATTCCTTTGGTCATAAAATATTGTAAAAACCTCCAAATTGTAAACAAAGTTTCTGACCACCACGTCAGAAGAGTTCCGGCTTTATTAAAAAAAAAAAAAAAAAAAAAATGGGTAGTACTGGCTTTCTAGCCGGTGAGTTCCACATAACCACCTGTATACAGGTGGTACGCATAAAATGTAAATGCATTTCCCAACATAAAAAAAAAACATATACAATATTTCCGAATAAAATTGTTAATATCGGTTCCCATCTATCAAGGTGAAACACTGCATCAATCCGGTCATGTTTGATAACAATCATATGAGGAAATCGAAAATAGGTACACCTTACCTATAGCTTGTCTTACTGAGATTAGGCTTTTTATTATATATTTTTTCTTTATTCAATTAGACATTATACACTTTTGAATCATCAACTCATTTATAATGGTTACTATAGTCCATGTGTCAGTCAAGAGTAACTCCTGATGAAAGAATGAAAAAAGATGAAAAGAAAAATAACAAAAAGGCATGCAAAGGCGATCTTATTGCTATGAGCAATATCTTACAGACAACTTTGGTGAAAGGATTAGTGGAACCGTAGACGGGACGGTATAATTTATACTAAATGATGATGATGATGTTCTCCTAGCCGATTCCGGCCACGGCGGCCAATCTCAATGAGATTAGCCAACTGCGCAGAAGATATTATAGTGCTCAAGTGTACGCGCAGACACAAGTGCACTCTCTATTCCTATCACTCTCATACTCCGGTGGGACGACCACTCGACACGACCGGTGAGAGTTAAGGCGCAGGACCGACGGCTTTACGTGCTCTCCGAGGCACGGGGGTGAAACACCGCCAACTTCCCAACTCCGGGCTGTTACTGAGACTTACTATACAGGAAGACTCAATAACTAAACTTGGCCCGACCCGGGACTCGAACCCAGGACCTCCGGGTGTGCAATCGTACATGCTAGCCACTACACCACCGAGGCAGTATACTAAATATAAACATGATGAACTACGTTTACAAACATAAATAAGACATACATACATAAGACAAAAATACTTACTCCTTAATCTCTTTATCGGTGGATTTTGCATTCGTTGATAAGCTCGTCGTTCCAATAACGCTATCGGATCACCGACTCCATGAGAGAAGCTACGGGCGGGCGTATTGATGCTCACGTGAGATGCGAACTGCGTTCCTGAACCACAATGGCTCACTTGTATCAGATACAATATAGTACAGACACACGTAACTAAATAACTTGGTTGTATCTGAAATAAAAACATAAAAAAATATAATAATAGATACAAGGTATGTGTATATGTTTAAATTTCTATCGTTTTGATAATTGATATTCATATTAAGTTCGAATTATCATGGGGGAAACCTAGAATAACATATTTTAATTTATTTATATTTATTATAATAGACAGACATACCGAGATGATAATTATTATCTATGCATGTAGGTGTGTTTTTTTTGCATGCTACACAGGGAAAATCTAGACTCATTGCATGGTGCACAGGGATTCCCAATGCAATTTTTAATGTAATTTTTTGTATATACGACTTCGAACTTGTTATCTCCATAGTTCCTTATAATAGACACATGAGTATTGAGTTAGTGAATTGATATGGTATACCAAAGATTTTTATCAAAGCTTTTAATTGTTATAACTAAAAGCTTCTAATTATATATTGTTGAAACAATTTTATTGTTTCATTCGAGAATTTGGTCGTTCAAAAACGTAAAATTGTACTCAACCATACATATTTTAATTATTTGTTTCATGTTGTTTATGTATTATACTTGATATAATATGTAGTACTACACGTATCAAGCAAAGCACAATCCTAATATTTAGATTCATCTTTGTGATAGTTTCATCCGAAGAAGCGCTTTGAAATTTAATTCCCACGGTCTCATTTTAATTTTATAAATCTTCATCATAATTATAAGACCTGGAATTTCCAACTTAGATAAAAAATGGTAACATGTTTAAATGGAATGCCATTGAGCATTGAGACAAAAGTTAGTTATGTAAAATATTTTTGACTTATACAATCTAATTCAATTAAAAACCTTTACAAAAATTTAAACTACTCTGTGAATTTTTTTTAGGCTTATTTATAATCGCACCATTACGACATTATTTAGTTTAGGATAATTAAGGTGGTATTCATAAATAAAATGATCATGACTCAACAAATTCAATTAATGAAGTTCAATTTTTTGAAGTCTATATTAATATGGACCTTCTTGAAGTTTATCTTTAGGTATACAGCTTTAAATTAATGGATATATAATATGAGATTAGAGTGTAATGTAATGCATTGTGTGCAATATTGTTAGTTTAAAAAGGTGCTTACAAACTAAACCAGAAAGAAATAATATTATGTTTCAATTATGAAAATACGATAGTGTGAGCTTGTTTATACTAAAAGAAAATAAAGTTGTATCTATCAACATCATTGATATAGTGAGCTTACTAGAAACAAGCGAACATCCATATTAATATTATAAACGTGAAAGTGTGTTTGTTTGTTTGGTTGTCTTTCTTTCACGTCAAAACGGCTTGACGGTTTTGTGTGGAGATAGTTGGAGGGTTGGAGAGTGACATAGATTACTTTTTACCGCGGGAGATTATATAATTCCTACGGGAAAACACGTTATAATACCATACAAACAATTATTTATGATAAGAATTGCTTGAAACTTGGTATTAATATTCTTCAATACAATTAATTAAATACGTGTTTTAGTATTTTTCGAAATTCATCCCATAAGGGGGTAAAATAGCGGATGAAAGTTGGTTTGAAACCTACTTTTTTCGAGTTTTTTTGTAGTTTTAACGCAAGCGAAGCTAAACTCGTTGTCGTCGTCTATGTAGTTTTTCTATATAATAGCAATAGTTTTACTAAGCAAATTTATGAGTTATCTTTTTTCGGGCATTACAAACTATGATAACTATAATGAGCTGCCCCACATAATATCCATAATATACTTTTTAAAACAAGTGCTTTTTTTAATGATTATTGATTTGATTTGAACACTATAGTTTGTAGGCAACCTTAAAATTGGCACGGGCGCATACTCTCACGGAGCAGAATTGCAACACAATAGCGGCCGTGTCGTTTGAATTGGACCTGTGTGGCGAAATGATGACATCTTAATTGAAGATCTAGAAATATTGACCATATATAATGAGATGGGCCTTGAAATAAGAATGATGGACGAAGACATTTATGGAAAGAAAAATAGTAATATAACAATATATAAATTAGATGAATTGTTGTTCAATTAAAAGTGCATTAGATATATTTTTGTACAGAAATCATCAAAACGAGAGTAAAACGAAGGAAAATTGTTATAGTTAGCTGTAATAAGTAAAGCAGCAATATTATTATCATCATAATCAAGCATAAAACAAAATAAAAAGTAAACTATTTATCACCATTTACACTAATTCCCATAATAAACCTTTTCTTAAGCGGATAAATTATATCAAATCTGAAACATGACATGCGTGGGAAGAATAATGGCAAATATATAAACTTAATGAATAACAGGCATGGAAACTTTTGAAATATTGCAATAACATGTGAATTTTTACGACAGTACGATAACATTTTACTGCATTACTTTATGAGTAGATACTTTTTCTATGATATTAGAGTGTTACTTTTGTGGCGGAGAAGGTTCTGTCGGTTTATAATAGGAATTTTAATAAAAAGTGTACCTTTATTTAATACTAGCGACTCACACACACACACATCACTCACACCTCGCTTCGCTCGGGCCCGTCCCTAAGTCCATTCCCCATACAAACTTTCATACCCATTTTTATACCCCTTAAGGGATGATTTCCGGAATAGAAAGTATCCTATGTCCTTTCTAGGATCTCAAACTATCTTCTTACCAAATTTCATATAAATCGGTTCAGTAGATCCAGAGATTACCCTCTACAACCTCACAAACTCACAAACTTTACCTCTTTATAATATTAGTATAAACAAGATTTTTGTAACTTATTTCTCAGCTTTTCTTCTGAGCTATTTAGACTTAATTTTAAGGCGGTTAACTTACATACAAACGTCTTTAAGATAATTTAGCAGATATTTTTAACAAAAGTTTTGATTTGATTATTTTTGATATTCGCAAACTAAAATAGTCCGATATATGTATACAATTCAATGGCAATGTGACGAAATTAGATAACTATAACCTTCCTGAAGACATAACAAATAGGTTTCTTAATGACCTAAATAGTACTAATGGAAGCAAGCTCTGCATTAACTCAAGGTAAGACAGACATTATGATCTGTAACAACAGAATCTTCTTTGTTATTACGACAAAAGCACCAAATTATAAACTAAGCTATAAAATACGTATATGATAATTAATCATCATATTATCAATGGTTAATTATAAAATTTGTTTCATAGTTAATAAAAAGAATAGACGCTTATTGTAAATTTATTTAGATTTTAACGAATTTTAAAGGCATATTTGGAAAGTCAAAGTGGTATAAGGAAAGTACTTACATGGTATTAAGAAACAATTTAGATTTTCGTAGATATTATACGTGCTTAATATAATATAGATTTCTAAATCTCTCTTCATTTACATTATAAAGAGGTAAAGTTTATAAGATTCCAAGTTTCGATGTAACGAGTAATTTTTGTAACCATTGATTGATTCGATTCTTTCACTTATAGGAAGCTACATAGTGCCGAGTGCGATTAGTACCTATGCGGTAATTTTTATTAGGATAAAAATGTGTTTGCTGAATGCTGTCATGACAGCTTTAATTAAAGGCGGAACATAACGGAGCTTAAACGGTGAGCGTTGCCAAAATGTTTTTAAATAGGTAAGTACAGCAATAAAATACATGACAAAAAGATAGTTATGGCCGCATTCGAGCGAAGCGAGGCTTTAGTCTAGTCGACTCTATTATGTACAGTTAAACAATTGTCTCGAATGAAAGTAAACAGTCTAAAATTATAACAAGGTACAACGTAGGGGTTAATGCAACCAAAATGGGTTATAAAAAATTGTTTGGCAAGCAATATTTTTCGAGTGAGAAGTTGACAGAAACATTTTTAAAATTAATGTTGGTTCTTACTCAGCAATTGGCGCTTTCTAAATATAAATAAGCAGGTACGTCACTACCAATGCAAAATTAATTTTGGTTCTAACACTGTGTAGCATTGTTTATTGTTGGTGTATGAAATTATTTAAGAGATTGATTGAGATAGTTGTCGTGCAATATTCAATTTTGTAGTAGGTATGGGTATATTCCAAGTCATTAAGTGGTCAGCGAGTCACGGTATATAACCAAATCGTGGATATATCATTTAGGAGAACAATCTTACAAGTGTAGAGCTGAAGTTGATATAACAAAGTTGATATTTTATTACATCAAATACTGTTTCTGTACCAAAGATACCTAACTTTTGGGCCTATACAATAAATAAATGGCATATTAAGCTATTAACAGTAAAAGGAGATAAAGATATATATTTATAATAAACGTATAATACAGTTTGTCTAATTGAAACACCCACTTCCAACGTGAGAGACATGAAAGAGTTAACAATCCTACTAATATCCTACTAGTTCTACTAATATTATAAATTCGAAAGTTTGTGAGGATGTATGTATAGATGTATGGATGTTAGTTACTCATTCACACAAAAACTACTGAATAGATTTTAATGAACCTTTACAATAATATACATTACACATAGGCTTTTTTTATCGGAAAAATGTACGGCTTCCGTGGGACCGATTGGTTTTTGTTTTCTAGAGACGAACCCGAGCGAAGCGAGCGTGAGCAGCTAGTAAGTACCATTAGGTACTTACTAGCGACCTGTATAAGATGTAATACAGTAATACAATATATTAAGATGTAATACAGGTCATCCATTGTTTTTAAAAACTGCAGGTTATAGTACTTACAATGGACCATATACGAGTATGTACATAAATACGATTGTATATTACATTTGAATCGTTATAACTTATAAACCTGCTATAAATCAATCGTAAGCGATCACTTATGAACAGCACTTGTATGTATTATAGAATCTATTTGCAAACGTGACTGAAGACAAAGCGGTTCCTAATTACAGCTCTACTGCGGTCTGCGAGTGATAGTTGATACCCGGGGATTGCAACATTTTGCTCTAAAACTATAATAATGATAAAGACTTTGTATAAACAAATTAATTTTCTAAAAGAACATTAATCGATATTTTTATATTTTT